TTGGGTATGAATTGTCTGGGCTTTTGTCGGCTGACTTACAGTGCTGAAGAGCTATTCAGGTACAGCAATTAGTGCTCATTGTTTATTTCTTGGTATTAGAAAGATAGGTTATCGTCAAGAGGTGTCATTAGCTATATAATATCAACGGTTTCCACTCACCTGTCATATCACTCCACTTTACAGCTATCAAAGTTACATGCATCTCATATCTCATCCATCATATCCCCACAACCAAAACCACCATGCCTCTCAACGCCCAAACTACATCCAATCTGCAAACCATAATTGCCAATGCCTGCTCAGATGAAAAGACCGGCATCCCGGGTGCAACCGTCGTAGTGGTCGATAAGCACGGTGAGATCTTTGCCCACTCGGCAGGCAAGCGAGGTCTCGGTACGCAAGAGCCCATGACTCTGGACAATGTCTACTGGATCGCCTCTTGCACCAAGATGCTTACAGGGATTGCCTGCATGCAACTTGTGGAGCAGGGGAAACTGAAACTTGATGATGGAGAACATGTTGAGAATCTGTGTCCTGAACTCAAGAAACTCAAGGTTTTGAAGCCAGATGGGAGTCTGGAGGAAAAGAAGAATGTTATTACTCTTCGGATGTTGCTAACCCATACTGCTGGTTTCGGATATACTTTCTTTAATGAGAGGCTCAGAGATTGGAGTCTCCCCGCGGGGGTAGATGAGTTCTCTGGTAGAATTGAGGATGTTATCACACTGCCTCTTCTCTTCCAGCCTGGCGAAGGTTGGGAGTACGGCGTAAGTCATCCGTCTGACTGACAGAATGTCTACTGACATCCACAGACCGGCATTGACTGGGCCGGCATCGCAGTTGAACGCGCCACTGGCCAGCGTCTGAATGATTATCTCCACCAACATGTCTTCCAACCTCTCGGCATCAAAAACATGACCATGATCCCAGGCCACGCCATGCGATCTAAGCTCGCGTACATGCATCAGCGAGATCCAGACGGCACCCTCCGAGTACGAGACCACCTGCAACGTCTTCCACTGGTAATTGATCCAGAAAATGCATCCGAAGTTGCCTCGGTCTTCAACAGCGGCGGCGCAGGCATGTTTGCGCAGCCGCAGGAGTACGGAAGTATGTATATTTTCCTCTTGGTGTAGTGTGATTGCTAACGTGTAGCAGAGGTGCTCACTATGCTGCTCAACGGAGGATCGTGCCCAAAGACAGGAAACCAGATTCTACGGAAGGAGACGATTGACCATATGTTTAGCAATAGTATCGAGACATTCCCCGAGTTTGCACGTCAAGGGATCCCGGCGGCCAAACCGGAATTGACAAACCCTCTCACAGAGCTTTATACGGTTGACGGCAACCCCCCTCAGGTATGATATTTGCACCGCACTATCGTGTGAACACAAGACTGACGTTTGAAGGGCTGGGGATTGACTTTCTTCCTGACCAACGGTGGTCCATCTGGACGATCCAAAAACACTGTTCAGTGGGCAGGACTTGCGAATCTTTGGTGGTGGGCTGATCGGGATAACGGTGTTGCTGGAATTGTGTGCTCGCAGATTCTGCCATTCGCAGATGCCAAGGTGTTGGGTCTATGGGCTGAAGTAGAGAAGGAGGTTTATAAAGCAATCTTGTAAAACTGCTCTTAGTATTCTGTACTTGAGCTGTCAATTCATCCTTTTGGTTATGCTAAGGCTACCATTTCGTACCTGTTATTTATCCAGGCCAACCAGATATCATTTCGATAATTCTAGCCTAATGACGCTATCTCGAAGAGTGGATAGATATGGAATGATAGCCTTAGCACAGTCAAGGGGATAGTAATCGACATCCAATCGCCAAACCCACATTGACCCAGTTACTTTCTCTCGATCTGTGATCATCTCATATCCATGTAATCTACACGATCGAGAATTCCATCAATCCGAGCGTCGTACTTACTCATCCAATAACCAAGCATAATCTGCCAATCCTAGTCCGGTACTCAAAGTCCGGTTCCAAGATTGACACTCAAGCTAAAACCAAAATAGAAAAGAACGCGGGGAAACTCCCACCAGAAATACTTTGATCCGGGGATCCGGAGCTATGTGGGGGTTTTCTGGGGTTAGCGAGCCAAGGGTGGACAGTTGTTAACCTAAACAGATAAACACGACTCATCGCCCACTCTTTTTTTTTCAGCTGGGCATTTTCTCTTTTTTATCCCTTCCCTTCAGACCATCTTTAAACTGAATTTGATCATGAAAAGACAGCAGTATGCCTGCGATCAGTGCAGAAAATCCAAGCGAGGATGCGATGCTCCGCCTTTGGATTATCCCAAGAACATGGACCCTCTGCGCGACGGGAAGATGATTGTTGGAGAAAAGCGTAAGCGCCCCTGTCTCCGCACTCCAACCCATACCGGCGCCTAACACTATACACAGCTCCTATGGCTCAGTCATCGCCGTGTTCGTATTGTGTCAAGACTCATAAAAAATGTACAATGAATTGGGCTTGGACGCAGATACAGGTTTCGTATGCTTTGGCTGCTGCCGCGCGTGGGGAAGCTGGGATAGAATGTATTGTTCCGACGAGACGGGCGTCGACGGAGAAGAGTCGCGCGTCGCCTACGACTTCGGTGGTTGCTGATGATATAAGCCTTGATGCTGAATCGACTACGACTTGCGTTTCTCAGTCGCTTCCCCCTGTACCGGTATTTGCGGATATTGACGCTGGATTGCAAGAAATGGACTTGCCTTCGTTTCTGGACGACTCTCTCGATAAATTGCCCTTTGACTTCGAACCGCATGAAAACGACCCTCTGGATAACAATTTCTACGGTGTTGCTTTCAAGGATCTCAACCAGTCATCGGATTGTTTGAGTGAACCGTGGGAGTTCTTCAAAGAACCAGCAACACAACCACCGCCACTACTCGACGTATTCTCCCTTTCACAACCCATAATCAGCCCTACAGAACCCGACCAATCGCTAGCTCTATCTAGTCCCAACGACAAAGACTGGAATACGAGGACAAAACGCCGTCGTGTATCCAACGCCTGGAGTGATACCCAAAGCAGCTCTTTGTCTTCCTTCTCTATGGATCAATCCATGATGGCACAGTCCAACAATCAACTTATTTCAACGAACCTCTTGCAGATCTACCACGACGTCCTCGAGCATAACCTCTCCTGCTGGTTGAATGAGGTCACGTGTCCGTTTGGGAGCCAAAAGGATATGAACAAACCAAGCAGTTTCGCAGAATGGGGCTCTTCATGGACGAACAGAGTCCTTCGCCGAACATTAAATCTCGATCACGTCGCTCAGTCAACTCAGCTCATTCAAATCTCAAGACAGGAAGAGTCAAAAACCGCAAAGGCTCTTCATCTATCGATTATGGCCTTTGCCACACAGTGGGCTCAGGGGTCACGGCGCCAAAAGGAACGATATCCTTCACTTGCAGACATCACGGAGGATAACCCACTGAATGAATTCATGGATGAGCTTACGGAGGAATTTGATCGTAATCTTCAGAGAAATGTTTGGGACCAGGCCAGAAGGGCTCTTGACGAGGTTGCTGATGTTGAGTCCTTTCGTGTCGTCTGTGCTGAGATGATTTTCGGCCTTACACAGAAACCCCTTACTCAGGAAGAAATGAATTTTCAGGAGTCGAATCTCTGTGGTGGCTTTGATGATAAATATGACGCAGAAGCGGTTGCCGATGAAATCGCAAGTATAATCGAAAACGACGGTCCACCAATATACATGGAGCGAGCAGCGAGAAAGATGCACACACTGAAATATCGATACGACGCTGAACAAAGAGGCATCTTCAGAAACCGCACCAAGAAAAGACAAAGTATTTTATCAGCAATGAGCACCGAGGACAGAGGCACGATAAGTTTGCTTTACTGGTTAACCGTCATGTTCGACACGGTCAGTTCATCTATGGCCGAAAGACCGGTCGTCGTTGTCGACGCCAATAGCCAACACGATGATGCCCGAGGGGATACAGACTGGAATGTTCCGCTTTTCATACAGGATAGTTTGGAGAAGCCCAAGTTGGTGGTTCATTGGCCGTGTTCGTACGAGGAGGCTGCGGAGGCTGTCACGAGGTCTGCACCTGTCAAGGTTCTCATGTTTCGACATGTAGCCTATCTGCAAAATATCCTGAGACAGGGAGGGCGGAGAGAGAAGGTTGAGGAGTTTATAGAAAGATCTATCAGCGTGTATAGATACTGGAACATGACGCAGTAAGTTCAGCCACTGATACTTATCAGCTCAAGCTAACAAACCCAAGCGGGACGTTCTTTAGAGAACTCCTCCAGAACTACGACGCCATCCCAGGCAGGATCCAAAGCTGGTTTATCTGCATCTCCGCCCACTGGCATCTCGGCGTCCTTCTCCTCGCGGACCTCATCGAGCACATCGACACCAACAACCTAGGCATCCCCTCGCACAGCCACGCCCGCACAAGCAGCAAATGGGTTCTCCGGATCCGCGAGCGCAGCGCAACCGAACTCTCGGACCTCGCGCGCGCGACGGCCCCCGGGATAACCATCGCGCCTCAGCTCTCCGACTTCCACCACGCCATCAACGAGAGCATGCTTCTCACGGAGCCGTGGACGATTATCCTGATACGGGCATTTTCCAAGGCGGGGAACTACTGGCTGGGGGAGGCGAGTGGGTTGATCAGGTGTGAGTGTGATGGGGCGGAAGTGATGGTGAGGTTGGGGAGGGCGGAGGAGTGTGTCAGGGGGTTGTGGACGTTGGGGAAGAAATCGGATATTGCGAGGAGGTGTGCTGAGACGTTGTCTAGGGCAAAGAGAAAGTTGGTGGTGTAGATGGTATGACTATAGAGTTCGGCTGAATAGGTTGGGTGGTTTAGATATAATCTTAATTAAAGCCAATTCACATAACTCAAGGTGCTAAACAGCCTGTTAGAACTGTTTCTTTCAGAGTTCTCTATGAGCTGGAAGGACTATTAATATGGTTCCTGTTGGTATCCCTGGTTGTTGTCTAATCAGCATCAATCCTCGGTTCCGTGGCCTAGTTGATTATGGCACCTCGTTAACACCGAGAAGGTCCCCAGTTCCATCCCGGGCGGAACCACACCTTGTGCCCTTTAGACAGATTCCCTACTACATCTACAGAGTACGTGAGATTCTGTAAAGTAAATCAAGCCGATGAGAATACGCAGCAGTGGGGTGACGTTTTTGTCTTTTGTAAATGCTGACCGTGGCATTTTGTGCAATCAGTCTGGCTAAGTCATCTTTCGTCTGTAAAATGATATCATGATAAAAGATCTCCTGGCAAAGCGACAACATCAATTATACTATAAAACAATATGCAAGACTATCCCCCAAATTCAACATCACCAAGGTGAAGGATCATCGGACAATCATTTCCATCACGACAACAACTCTTCTAACCCATTCAGACTTTTCAACTATAGGGTAGCCAAACTTACCGGTACTTGACGATCCCTCACGTGGCTTCCCCAGATTTCATCCCCATCAATACCAATTCCGCCTCCTCTCATTGGTCATTTCCAAATCCCCATTGACGATCCCCTCGGTATCCCTACCGCGGAACTGGAAGGGGCATACCGAGGTAAACATCGTAGCACATATAACACATAAACAAGTCAATTCCAATTTAGACAAACATAAACATCCAGTACAAAATAATTGTTTTTAGAATCCAATCCACCATGGCGTTCCATCCACCATCCTGGGTCCCCAATCTGCCAAGTACGTACCGACCATTCTCAACTCCCCCAGCAAGAATTAACAACGTCAGATATCCCCGACTCCATCAGCGTGGCAGATTTCATCAACACGGAAAAGGCAGGTCGGAAGGCCCTTGCAGCTTCGAAAAGCCCGTATACATGCGGTGTGACAGGCCTGTCGCGCACCGCTGCCCAAGTCGCACAGCGTGTTGACTACCTCGCGCGCGGCCTAGCAAAGAATGTCGGTTTTGACCCCCTGGATGGCACATCCTGGGATAGAGTCATGGCCATTTACGCGCTCAACACGGTAAGTTCCCCCATCATGAGTGCACTGCTTCATGCTGAGGAAATAATCAGATTGATTACATCCCCGTCACACACGCAATCCATCGCGTGGATGGTATCGTCACGCCCGCTAGTTCGGCGCATTCACCCTCGGAGCTTGAGCACCAACTACGATCATCCGGCGCAAAAGCCCTGTTCACATGCGCCCCTCTTCTCAGCACTGCACTAAAAGCAGCAAAAGCCGTTGGGATCCCGGAAAAGCACATCTTTCTCCTCCCTTTGCCTGAGACGCCTTCCGAGGGAAGCTTCAAGACAATTGAAGATCTAATCTCTGAGGGACAAAGTCTACCGCAGCTGTCTATACCGGCATGGACACCAGGGCAGGGAAAACGACAGGCTGCTTATCTTTGCTACTCCAGCGGCACGTCTGGTCTTCCGGTATGTATCCCGTTTGTTATGGTTGCTGAGCTTTCTAACAAGACGCAGAAAGCGGTTATGATCTCTCACTACAACGTCATAGCCTGCACTCTCATGATCCACACATTCGAGGGCATCACCCGCGCCCAAGACGGAATAGACACGCAAGTCGCGCTGGGCTTGCTGCCCTTCAGCCACATCTACGGCCTTGTGGTAATCGCGCACATCGCACAGTACCGCGGCGACGAGATCATCGTCCTGCAGCGCTTCCAGCTCGAGCAGCTCCTAGCCGCCATTCAGAAGTTCCGTATCGAGCAGCTCAGCGTCGTGCCGCCTATCATCGTGCAGATCTTGAGCAGCCAGGATAAATGCAAGAAATACGACCTCAGCTGTGTTCGGCTTGTCTTTTCGGGTGCTGCGCCGTTGGGTGGTGAGACGATTGCTAAGCTGCTTGAGCTTTATCCCAAGTGGAGGATAAGCCAAGGCTACGGTAAGTTTCATTCATGAGATAATTGGCAGTCACTAATGAGAATAGGATTAACGGAGGCTTCGCCATCGGTGTTTCACACGAGTGAGGCAGATGCGCTGCTGGGCTCATCGGGTTCGCTCCTCCCAGGTGCAAAGGTCAAGATCATCGATCAGCACGGCAAAGAAGTGACAGAATATGAGACACCCGGCGAACTATACGTTCAGGCCCCGAATGTTGTCTTGGGTTACTTGCACAATGAGAAAGCCAACGCAGAGACGTTTGTGTGGCACGAAGATGGCCGCTGGTTAAGAACAGGTGATGAAGTGCTCGTGCGGAAATCAGACCGTGGTTTCGAACATTTCTTCGTCGTGGACAGAATCAAGGAACTCATAAAAGTCAAGGTAAGCCCCCGGAACATCCTCCGAGGGTAAGTCCATCGCTAATTACCTATTACAGGGCCATCAAGTCGCTCCCGCAGAGCTGGAGGCTCATCTTCTCGACCACCCACACGTAGCCGACAGCGCAGTAATCGGCATCGTGGATGAGCGCGCAGGCGAAGTGCCACTGGCGTTTATCGTCAAGAGCAACGAAGCAAAGGGCGTTTCCGATGAGGATGTCACAAGGGCTGTCTGTGGGCATGTGGAGAAGCATAAGGCGCGACATAAATGGTTGAAGGGTGGTGTAAGAGTCTTGGATGCTATTCCCAAGTCGCCGAGTGGGAAGATCCTGAGACGGGTTTTGAAGGCAAAGGTTTTGGCGGAGAAGCCCGTTGCGAAGCTGTAGGATGAGCACAACTCTAAGAATAATTACTCGGTTACGAAGCGAGTGTATTGAGTCCATTGTACTAGAAATCTAACTGGCCAATTGCGTGAAATAGAACCGTTATTATCGGGCACAACGGGCACGACGGTCAGCAAACTCGAATGCATCAGCACTAAGCCAAATGATCCATGCAAGGCACCAAAAATACAGTCATCAACGGATTTCTTTTTTCTTTAAAAAGCTGACCATGATCCCACATCAATTTTTCGCTCTGCCAAGTGATAAAATACAAACACAATGTCTTCCTTAAGCAGCTCGTTGCTGCAGAATCTCGTGGCTGACGTGCGGGAAGGCAACTTCAGCTCATCAACGGTGTTGTACACAGCGGTTTTGGCGGCGGCTGTGGCTTTGTCCCTGCTGAATCGGCTGCTGACTCCCCGCATTGACCCACGCGAACCGCCCGTTGTGAAACCTAGAATTCCGTGGATTGGACACATCATCGGCGTCATTCGCCATCAGGCTGATTACAACAGGATACTTCAGTGCGTGTCTCTTTTTCGCAGCTAATCAATCGGCCCTCTCCCTAACATATACAGCGATGCGAACCCGGGTCTCCAGCTCGCGACGCTGCCGATGCTCAATGGCAAGCTCTACGTCGTCTTCGACCCCAATCTCCTCCAGACGCTCCTCCGCAACAAAACCGCCTCCTTCGAACCCTTTGCCATCGACTACGCCCAAAAGACCTTCGACCTGACCCACGAGACCTTTGCTAAAGTCAAAGTCCCCGGCGTTTACGATGAGTTCACCGATGCTATCCACGCGAGCTTCCAGACTGCTAGTCTGCACCAGATGAATGTTGAGTTCCTCGGCTGCATCTCTGCTAAGCTGGATCCTATGAGCAAGGGGACGATGCGCGCGAATGCGACGACCCATGGGAGGGAGAAAGTCGTGAATGGGGCATTGCAGATGGAGAACCTGTATCTTTGGTGTCGCGACGTCATGAGCCTTGCTACCACAAAGGCACTCTACGGCGACCACGATCCCTTCGGCCCCAACCCATCGCTCATCGAGGACATGTGGTGAGTATACCTTCCCAACGATATCTCCCATGGCTAACAATCGTAGGCTCTTCGAAGAATCCGTCCCGTACTTCCTCATGTCCCTCTTCCCCTCCATCACCATGCCGAAAGCCTACAAGGCGCGCTCAACCCTACAGACGATCGTGTGCGACTGGTATGCGGCGAACCACGACGTCAACGACCCGACCGTCTCCGCCCTTGTGCGCAACCGCGCCGCCTCCCTTCGCAAGAACGGCCTCACTGGTTACGAGATCGGAAAGTTTGAGGTCATCCTCCCCAACGTCGCGACGCTCAACGCCGTCCCTACCTTCTACTGGCTTCTCCTCTATATCCTCGACCGACCTGATCTTCTCGCGCGAATCCGCGCCGAGGCCGAAGCTGCAGCGGTGGTATCATGGGATAATGGCAAGCGGGCGGTTAGTTTCAACATTGCAGATTTCGAGGCGAAGCTCCCTCTACTTGTAAGCTGCTACCGCGAAACAATGCGCCTCGTCAACCAATCCGTCAGCATGCGCCGCATCTCTCAAGACATAACCCTCACGACCCCGGAAGGAAACACATATACTCTCAAGACAGGCACAGATATCCAGCTGCCCGCCGGCGTGGCGCACTACGAGCAGAGCGTCTGGGGCGACGACGTCAAGTCCTTCAACCCGGAGCGCTTCCTCGCATCCTCAAAGGGAAGCCCCGAAGAGGAGCGGAGGCGCAAAGCAGCGTACATCCCCTTCGGAGGCGGCCGTCACCTGTGTCCCGGCCGCAACTTTGCTTTCGCAGAGATCGTCGGTTTCGCGGCTTCTTTGCTCCTCGGCTTTGACATTGAAGCTGTTGGGATGGGCTTCGGGGATGTCACGAAGCTTGGGCCAAAGCTTGCAGGCGGGACGGTGCGGCCTGAGAAGTACGGCGCTGGATTGGGTGGGAGGATAAGTAGGAGGGAGGGATGGGAGAATGTTGAGTGGAAATTTGAGTGCTGAGGGATTTGATCTTAGTCTGGGGTCTATAATGTGATGCTATTATTTCTCATCCATGTTCGCTAATGCTAGTACAGTATAGCCCCGAGTATTTTCCTAAACAGACATAAAACCCTTGTTTCTCGTTGTTGCTATTTTTTTGCGAAATGCAGATAAAGAGCGCATTGGTGGTTTTCTTTTTGTCCTTTTATCCAACATTCGTGTACTCGTCATTTTGCGCCAGGTCGTATATTCCACAACGCAGCATCCACCCATCAAGACAGCCAACATCCCCTATGCCGAGGAGCTTTTATCCGTGTGTCCATTCTTCTCCGTCTTGGCAGCCTCAACAGGCGCCTTGTTATCGCCGGGCTGCAGGGGATATCCCCACGCAGGCTGGTAGAGCACGCGATGCCAGGGAC